AGGCTGCTGCCCGGCACTCCCAAACAGGCATCCAGGGACCACCCAGCCACTCCGTCGGAGCTCCGGTCCCCTCCCTGGGAGCAGAGCAGCACATGGCACCTCCTGCCAAGAGTCCCACTCTGTTCCAGCTCGAAATCCCTCCTCTTGGTGGCTCCCCATTTCTCCTCCCTTTCGGGCTGGGTTAGGAGCTCCAAGCGGGGTTGAGACAACCTGGGGAAAGCTCTGCCCAGGGTGGCTCTCGTCCAGAGGAGCTGCCCGACCCGGCGAGGCTGTGCAGCCCCTCTCTGTCTCGCTCCTGCATGTTTCTTCTCCCAGGGGCTGGCATCCCTGGGCACGCTCCCAAGGGACCCTGGAAGTTGAGATGGGGCTCTCCCTCCTGGCTGCAGTTAGGGGAAAGGCTCCCACCTGGGCTTTGGGATGGGACCTGAGCTTTTCATGCTTGTAGGCATCTCCCTTCCCCTAACGCTACCTCTGCAGCTCTGCTGGATGGATCCTGCCATCCCGCAGCCTGCAAGCTCCCAGACATCCCAGGCACAGAACCAGGGGTCCTAAATCTGTGCCCGGGGTGGAAACATCCCCCCATTGGGACTCCATCCCTCCTGCGCAGAGGCTGCATGGGATGTGCACGGGTCTGCCCTGCACCAGGGGTGCGAAACATCCCCTGGGACAGATGTTCAGCCGCAAATCCAGGGCAGCACCCTGACATGCCCATCTGTGGGTGCCCCGTCCCTACCAGGTTGGGTCCCATGTCATGGGTGAGCCCCTCAGCCCCACGGCACCAGCCAAGAGCTGTGGACCCAAACCCCCCCTGCCGGAGCCTGACTCACCATATACGCCATGTTGGCGGCGGGGGGGGTCACCTGTGCCCGCACTTGGTTGTGATAGTCCAAAATGACACTCATGTCGCGAGGGGAGAGGTATCGCTTCCGACGGCTCCGGGGGACCCCCACGCCCCACAGCAGGCCCACGGCTCTGCCCCCGGGGGGGGACAGGAGCTCGGTGGCATTGGGCAGCAGGAAGGAGCTGGACTGCTGTGTCATCCAGAAGCCCAAGGCAGTGAGGTACAGGTGCAGGCGCAGCACCGCCATGCTAGCCCGGCCGGCGGGACCGGCTGGCGGCTTTCCGCTCCCGCACGGAGTTAAGCAAGGACAAGGCAGATCGCTGGTCCCCGCTGCTGGCACGTGGATCTAGGAGAGAAAACAACACAGGCACCGCTCAGGTTTGCAGTTCACGTGCAAACACCGCTTCCCAAATAAATAAATTTTCCTTTTTTTGCTTTTCAAAGTAAATTTTTAAAATTAATCTCTTTGATAACCTCAGTTATCACAGCAAATTCCCCAGGACCAGCAGGGAGATGGCTGGGGAATTGGTTTTCTTGTGGTTTCTTTAAAAAAAAAACAAAATCAGTACAAAATCTCCCCGATTTTTTCACTTATCGCACATACCTGCCAGGCAGGAGCTAATTAGGAGCATGCTGAGATATTCACTGCAGCTGCCTGCCTTGTAACTTCCCGGGAATTTGGTGTGTTGAGTAAATCCCCAGCACAAATGGAAATCTCATACAGATAAAGAAACGCACAGCAAGTTTTAAAAGCACCGGCGAGAAATCCTGACGACTCTTTATCTCAGGGAAAGAAAAATAAACCACCGCAAAACCAGAGCAATTAAAAAAAAAAAAGAAAAATGCTGGAATATCTCCTCCTCTGTCAGCCGATGCACCTCCTAACATCCCTGCCAGCCCTTCCCCGAAGTAGCAGGGAGGATGTTCCCCCGACTACGTACCTTGAGGACTGAGCCAAGAGCAGCTGAGCCGGCGGCGCCAGCCGCTGGGATTGACCTTTGCAAACAACCTGCTGGGGCAGATGCGGGGGAGAGGTTTAGCCTAGCCCCGCCGGGCAGCCCGCCGCGGCATCTGACGCAAAAGCTGCATCTTAACTCTTCCCCTGGGGAATGTCCTGAAGTTTGGAAAGAGCCCTGCTAGATTTATAGGCTGGGGGGCGGTGCCGCGCCCCCCCGC